ACTACATGATCAGGAAAGCTTGTTTTTCTGAGCAGAGTTTTATAGCGCTTCACTGTGCTGGTATAGTACTGTTTTACTGTCACAATCAGGGATTCATTAAAAAAAAAGATACTTTTCAAGTCTGCCTGTTTTGATGCAATGATTTGCACAAGCCTGTAAATAGTTTCGGATATATTTCTACACCATTTCACCAAAGCAGAAACATGTCAACATGTCAACATGTAAAGAACATGTCATGAAGCATTTGTGGCACACAGTTTTCAAGAGATCAGAAATAGAATATTTCAAAAATCTTTTGTCAAATGCTCCCCCTGACAGTACATTGCTCTAGTTTTTCAAAGCCAGAAATAATAAATATATTCCTCTGATGTTTTCAAAAATATATATTATCTAACAGAATACACCTTTGACAGTTTAAAAAAAAAAAAAACTACTGTGCCTCTAGTATTCTGGTCTTGTTAGTTTTTTTCCCCCTTAAAAAGAAAGGCCTTAATATATTGAAACTGTGTCAGAAGAAAGATGTTTTACATGTAATTACTTGTTAAGGTTTGTAATGTTGAAATAAAGTGTGATACAAATGATACATATGGTCATCAGTCATTTTTAATATCTGAAAACAGAATCTAAAAGGAGAATCATACAATGGGTTTTACAAAGTGCAATTTCCCTTGTTTTTGCTTCTTTTAAGTATTAACAACAGTACACACATGTCCCACAGTCAACGGCAGGTGGACATATAATAAACTGCATTGAGCAAAAACACATTTGAATTCAACATGAAATGAGAAATGACCTGATTTTAATGCATATCTCAAGGTCCATCACTGCATGTTATTAAAAATTCTATACTCTGAAAATATACTGGCTTGCTTCGCCGGTTACGAATCCCTCATACAGTTCGACTTGTCCCATCCAATCATCTGCCTCCATTCTGGATTGTACCGCCCACTTTTCATGATCCAATCAATTCCAGGAGGATAAAATCAAGTACCGGCAAATGTTTTATTCTAAATCCATCAGTTTACAGAACTAAAATGACTTGCGAATGACATTTCATGTTGACTTCAAGAAAATTAAAAATCTGGAATAATCAAAAACTCTCACTTGACAGAATTGACAAAGTGTAGGCTATACACTGCTTTCGGAATGTAAATCTGTGTGTATTATTAAAATATACAGAGAACTTTGCACAATACTACTGAAGTCAAGCACACACTCCTTGCCAAACGGATGTAAAATATAGACTCTCAAAATAATCCTGAAATGCACTAGAGCATACTGCTCATTTACAGTATAAAAAAAAGAATAAAAAAAGCACACATCTCCAGGCCATGAGCATGCGTTCACAGTAATTTCACTGACGGCATACAGGCATATAAACACAAACTTCCTACGGGTTGAGACACATGTCAGGAGGACAATCGTGCAGCTAGACCAGGGGTAGGCAAGTTCGGTCCTAGAGAGCCGCAGTCCTGCAGAGTTCAGCTCCAACCCTAATCAAACACACCTGAACAAGCTAATCAATGTCTTCAGGATTACTAATGCCGAGTTCACACTGCACGATTTTCAAACTCGTCGGATCGCCGTTGTTTTCACACTGCGTGACTATCTGGGGTAGCATTCAGTTGCTGCTGTGTTCACATTGCACGATGGATCCGCGACAGGGGGTTTCACACTGCATGACTTCACAATAGGAAGAATCGCCGACAGCTCTGTCTGGTCCGCAAACTACGTTTCACAACAAAACACACGCGAGAAGTGATAAGGAAATAACGCGAGAACCCGCGTGCGTCAGACCGGAGTTCTCGCGAGACTGGAATTATTTTAAATATATATACAGCCCGCAAATAGTCTGTGAGCAGATTTCCAGCTACAAGGAGAAAAAGAAAAAAAAAA